CAGATAATTATAGATAGTAAAAGGTGTGACAATTTCAATAGGAGCTTACAATTAGAATGTGACACCAATTATTGACAATGATAGCATGGTTGTTTGAACCAACCATATTTAATTACAGAATAAAGAAACAACAAATGTGTTAAGATTTTCAAAATGACCTCGATGTATGTAACTACAAATTAAAAAAAACACCACTATAAAAAAACATTTAAAATCTCCGTATATTACACAACATTGTTCATAATTGTGTTGCAAAGTGATTTAATGTAACAACACATTTACTAGTAAATCTACATTGATCTACATTTATCAAATAACAAATCCTCTAACGTAGGGATATTAATAATAGTTTTTAAACTTGAAAATATGTGTCAGAGTAATTTATGTTATATAGAAGATAGTAATCTTCTTAAATAATAATATTCTTGCTTCTAGATCTTTTTATGAAACAAAAGAAATCACAGGAAAATATTTTTGTTTGTCATAATAATATAGAATACTGTTACTTAATCTTGTACTTTTTTTACAGAGGAAGTCAGCTAGCTGTTGAATAAATTCACCATTTTGAACCAAATCAAAGGGATGGAAATTCTTAAATTCGTGAATGTTTAGTTTATTAGCTCTGTCTTCAAACACATATAATATAATGTTTTTATTTAACAGACAGGGAAAAATTTCAGTGAAAAACTTATTGAACATCATGTTTCTAGGGGGAGAGTTGACCTATTTCCTTCTTCAAGTGAAAAGATAGAGAAGCTTCTTGTTTACTGTGAATTTAGATTTGAGAGCATAGCCTTCTTTACTATACATTGTGTAATGCTATAAATGTACTCAGCAAATAATTCAGTGTATTTCCAATCCAGCTTTTCAAATAACCTTCGAAGAGTGTAAGCCCCTATAAAACCGTTTTGATCGTCTTACATAACTTTGCACAATAAAATCATATCGGATTATATGAAAGTTTTATATACGAACTAAAAAAGAAAGAAAATGGTTTTAAAACATTGTCATCTAGGGCAGTGCTTCTCACCCTTTTCCAATATCATTCACCTTTATACGTTTTCCACAAGAGCTCACTCACCCCAGTTCGAATAAAGAGGAAAAGTATTAAATGAAAATGCAAAATTATTTATTATGACTTAAATATATATCACACTACAACTAGAATGAATATAACATAAAATAGACAAAAAAAAATGTATTTATCAAACTACAACTAGAATAAATAATAATAACTAATTACTTTTTTGCCCTTGAATTTCTTGTATATTTGATAATATTCATTCACCCCATCATTCTCATTCAGCCTGATTCTGATCTCATTAACCCCTAGCTGAACCATTCACCCAGTTGAAAAGCACTGACTTAAGGCTTTGATAGAAATTACTAAGAAGATAAACACATGAGTAACTCTTAACATTGTTCTTCAAATATCAGTTTAAAAAATGCTTATTAATTATAGGAATACAATGGGCTCAGACTCTCCCCAAAAGTTCAGATAAGAGTATTTCTTGTACATCTTTACAAAATCGCCATCTTAACCACGATGGAAATAAGATGCTCTTACTACCGTGTGTGAGAAACAAACAATCTAAAATAGAGAAGGGGAGGTATAGAGATAACATTTACCACACTATTTTCATAATATAATTATTAAAATTTTGTTATTTCCTGTTTAAATCCTGCTGGTTGTTGTTGTTTTAGATTGTTTGTTTTTTCTTTCGCCTTATGCTACTATAAATGTTCCAACTGAATGAATATGTGTATTTAATACTATCGATTAATTAATACAGTCGCTGAAGATGGAATGTGAATATTCTGAAACGTCCACTACCGAAAACAAAGTGTCGAATGTTTGCTATTACCTTCTATTGATTCTATTGATTATTATCAAACGCGCACATTGCAGAAAGCAGTAAATGAGTAGTATGTTTTGTAGAAGGTAAAAAAATAATGTGCTGTTAAAATGGAAAAGATTATGCAAGAAAATAACCTTTAGTTAACTTCTGTACCTTGTTTTGAAAATGTCTGTTATAAAGATGTGGAGATGTTTATAGCTTGAAACATTATTTAGCAACCATAGTTCAATTATATGACTGTAATTAGCATGTAGCTGGTGAACTTCTCTACCTATTGCCTCAGTTTCATGAGTATTATGAACTCTTGAAAGTCTGGCATTGATTTATTATTGAGCTTGTTAATAAACTCATTGTTATGTGCTCCCTGTTTACTGGTTTGTGCTATGTGCTTTGATATTTAGTTATGTACACTGATGTCCAATAGAAGTCTAAAGCATCAGCAAAATACAAGTTCAGGAAATGTTATACAAAACTTAAATTTAAAATCAACATCAAAACAAAAAAATACAAGTGAAAAGTAATCTTTCTTACAAAAATGTTATGTGTAATGTATTTCACCTACTGATCTGCTCATAACTTCCTGTTGTGACTTCTGGCTGCTGAGGTGAAGATGAGTACTTCTGAAACAAGACCTGTGTGTACAGCAAAAGCTTTAGTGCAGTATTCCACAAGTCATTAGATTACATATTTGGAATGTATATATATTGTTGCGTCAGCAAAGTCACATGACTAGTGTGACGCCACGTTTCTAGAACTATCCTGTACCTTGGCGAATGCTTAGCATTTACTAGATATAGGGTAGTCTGGTATATAAAAGAGGGTGACAACGTGACGTGAGAACAATGTGTGTGTGTGTGTAGACAGTGAGTAATTGATCTGCAGTCAGAGAGTATTGTTGAAGTTAACGTTCGTTGTTATAGCGTTTGTTTTAGCGCGATTGTTGAGATTAAGTGCATCGGTAAAGTTATATTCGGAAAGA